TTTGAAGTTAGTTTCAAACTACATTAAATGATCAGCTTGTTTGTTTGTTTGTTTGTTTGTTTATATTCCACCCTTCTCACCCTGCAGGGGACTCAAGGCAGAGCACAACATATATACGGCAAACATTCAATGCTGGGACATAAAACCATAAATACATACAAACATTAAAATCACATATATTCACATTAAAAGTTGCTTAAAAACCATCTCAGGACACAATTTTGCCTCATTGCACTGCCCCAAAAGTTTGGTCCCACAGCCAGGTCTTCACCATCCTTTTGAAGGACAGAAGGTAGGAGGCTGATCTAATATTGCCAGGAAGGGAGTTCCATATAGATTGGCCAAAAGTAAAACTCTCTCATTTGGGTCCCATCTACACCTACTCTTTCACAGGACCAGGCTGTGGCGCAACCATCTGCACTAAATCACTACTGACCGAGAGGTCATGAGATCAAAGCCAATCTGGTTTGGAGTGAGCTTTCAGCCATTAGTCTAGCTTGTTGTCAACCTTTGCAGCCCAAAAGACAGTTGAATCTGTCAAGAAGGAAGTTTAGGGACCACTTTATGTGGGGAGGCTAATTTAATGAATTTACGATGCCATAAAATCTTCCAGCAGTGTGCAGAAGAATGAGGAAGTACTCCATCAAAGGACTTGGTGTCACAAAATGGACAGTGAAGCAGCAGCTCCCCCTGTGGCCGGAATCAGGCATACCCTCATGAAGCTGGAAAACTGGAATGTTAAATTGCCTCTATGTCTGTCTATATATGTTGTAGGTCTAATTGCCATTGAATGTATATGTGCATTGTAATCTGCCCTGAGTCCCCTGTGGGGTGAGAAGGGCAGAATATAAATTAAATTAATAAATAAATTCAGGCAGTTCAAAGTGATCTTTGAATTGCATTATCCAGACAGCAAACACCCACAAAAGTGCACAAAAGAAATCCCTTAATGGACATCACTGCTCTGTAGTTCATTTGATGACCATCCAGGCCTCAAACTAGTTCCAGGATTTCCTATGGAATCATCTGCACAGCAAAATCTTTTTAAAAAAAATACTGGTCAGACTCTCAAATTTTACCCTTTTGGGACTGGAACTATAATTGTCCATCCTCCTATACAGGACAGTTCTTCACAGACATTTAACCCAAGTCAGGATGTGAATTGAAATAAGCCAGTTTGCCACAAAGTGTCCACACAGGCATCCTAGGAACCAGTTGGAGGCTGAGAAGATGGCCACAAAGATCTGCTGATTGCAGATCAATCCAAAACCAGAATTACATTTTATCTTACCTTGTTCAGTGAGATGGGCTGATGGGCAGCAGCACGTCCAATAGGGATCAGTGCTAGAGCAAGGCAGGGCACAACAATATAGGAGCGGAAAGCAAGCATTTCCATAGGAATGCTGTAGTTTCGTCTCAGAGGGAGGTGTTTATTTACCTTCGGGCAAGTTGTCTTTCTGTTTTTGCCTCCTAATTGCTTCAGCACTAGCCCTGTCTTGACAAGCACTCCACATTTTGCTGTCTCAAGTCCAGCTCATCACCGGCTATACATTGCTTGGCTGCAGTAAATTTTATGGCTTTTTAAATACACTGTATCTGGCTGGATGTGTGCTGAGGTGTGCATTGGAGGTGTGGGATTTGTAGACATTCTGACCTTGAGACAACTTCAAACTGCATTTTATTGCATCTATGGAACTGCTCACAGTTTATACAGAAAGAGAACTGGAGTCAAACCATTTGAAATGCACCTTCGTGGTAGCTAAGCTGGCAACCTTGAATGTAGAAAAATCTAGCGACTCTGTTCATGCATGAAAGTCATGGATGGCATTGGATTTTGCCATCTCTCTGCTAATCTAATGCTAAGGTTGAACAGTGTGGACTGGCTTTAAGGTAATTTCTACTGAGTGTGATTTAGCTTCTGAGCTCCTATATTGAAGGGCAGGCTAATGATGAAATTAATAAATCATGTCATGCTTTAGCCATTCTCTTGCTCAGATTGACCATTAGTTTAACTATCCATTCATCATTGTACAGGAAAGATTAATGATGAGAAAAATTTACTCTTGTCTTTTATTGTATAGTCTGACATTGCAACATATGTGGTCTGGAATGAATTCTTTCCTGAATCAAATTTGCTTTTAAAAGGGTGATTTGCATTTCTCTGCATAGCATCATAATCTTCCTTCAGCCATCTGGGTTTATTTTATTCCAAATAAACCCTTGGCGTATTGCCACCTCTGATGTGCATTTTTGCTTTATCTATTGAATATTAGCAACTCAGGAGCCTCCGGTGGCCCAGCAGGTTAAACTGCTGAGCTGCTGAACTTGCCGATCAAAAAGCCAGCAGTTTGAATCCGGGAAGTAGGGTGAGCTCCTGCTGTTATCCCCAGCTTCTGCCAACCTAGCAGTTTGAAAACATGCAAAGGTAAGTAGATCAATAGGTACCACTCCGGTGGGAAGGTAACAGCATTCCATTCAGTCATGCCGTCCACATGAACTTGGAGGTGTCTATGGAAAACGCCGGCTCTTCATCTTAGAAATTGAGATTAGCACCAACCTCCAGAGTTGGACATGACTGGACTTAATATCAGGAGAAAACCTTTACCTATTTTCAACACACTCTGGCTTTGTGTGATGACACCATTTGAATCATGAGTTCATTTATTTAATTCTTGTATTTGGAAAAAAATCTCTGTTTTCACTAAAATAACCAATGTTTTTACACCTTTCTGATTTTTCATATCTCAGAATTTTGTTTCACAAGATTTGGGAATGGCTTTTTGTGTGTGTGCAAGACATTGTGTGATATGCATTACACTATCTGTAAGTTTGTGCAAAGTACAATGATTTTGTACAAAACTCAGCTTCCTTTGCTATAGTTGTGCTGATGAGCACATGCTGGTGTTTTCAAGTCATGTAGGAACCAAAACATCTCATGGCAGTTGCCATTTCTTTGCACAGTGTTGAAGATGAGAAAACAGCAAGTAATTGTATATATGTAGAAATAAGCTATCATGGCCAAAACGCTTAAGGCTAATTCACACCCCAGTACATTCTTCATTTGAACTGATGTCATGGGATATCTAAACATTGTTTTGACATTGGTTTGTCTGCGGTAGGTATTTCACACGTGATGCAACCCTTGATGCAGTCAACAAAGAGTTGACTGACTTGGCCACGGTAGTCCACGCTCTTGTCACATCCCGCCTAGACTACTGCAACACTCTCTACGTGGGGCTGCCCTTGAAAACGGCCCGGAAGCTGCAATTAGTCCAACGTGCGGCAGCTATGATTCTAACAGGAGCGGAGCGCAGGGAGCACACAACCCTCCTTTTGCACCAGCTCCACTGGCTGCCGATCTGCTACCGGGCCCAATTCAAGGTGTTGGTATTGGCCTATAAAGCCCTAAACGGTTCCGGCCCAAGATACCTATCTGACCGCATCTCGGCCTATGAACCCACCCGGACTTTGAGATCTTCCGGGGAGGCCCTGCTCTCGATCCCGCCAGCCTCTCAAGCACGGTTGGCGGGGACGAGAGATAGGGCCTTCTCGGTGGTGGCTCCTCGGCTGTGGAACGCCCTTCCTGTAGACGTTAGGCTGGCACCATCTCTCATGACATTCCGTAGAAAGTTGAAGACCTGGATGTTTGTGCAGGCGTTTGAGTAATTCAGTGCAATTTTGGTAATTTGAACATAGGAACGGAACAATGGACGAACGAATTTGGATCACACTTGGATGATGAGGCGATTGGGGATGGGATTTGTGATAATTGTGTATTGATGATTGTTTATTAGTTATTAATGGATATGTGTAACTTAACTGTAATTGTATATTAGTATTGCTGTTTTTATTGCCTTTGCTGTTTGGAAACCGCTGTGAGTCGCCCCCGGGCTTGAGATACAGCGGTATACAAGAATAGTAAATAAATAAATAAATAAATAAAGATGCCTTAGATCTGCTAGAATTCAAGGTGAAAATGTAAAGTGTTCTTATACTGTGCAACTCTCTGAATCTTATAGGCAAATCCTTAGGGCTGACCTCATCAACCTGCAGCTCTCCAGATGTTTGGGCCTCCAACTCCCAAAATCCCTAGCCCGCTTGTTCAATGGTCAGGAATTTAGAGAGCTAAAGTTCAAAACACATGGAGAGACGCAGATTGCAGAAGCTCGCCTCGGAGTCTGTATTTTGTGCATATATGCCTTCAGGTTACCTTCCAACTTATGGTGGTTCCATGACTTTCATGGGGCTTTCTTAGACAATGAACACTCAGAGGTGGTTTTGCCGAAATATAGGTTACACTCCTGGTATTCATTGATAGTGTCTTGAAGTACTTGCCTCTCTTGAAACTGCTTGTTCTTACAGAGTGTGTCTGTATGATTGAAGAGAAGGCACGGTGCTGCAAACTCTGCCCACATGAGATCAGGATCTGGCTTACAGTTAGTTGTGGCCACCCACTGATTTTTCCAATGAGTCAACAGATCCAATGAGCCAACAGAAAGTTAGTTCTCTGCCTCTAGGGTTGCTGGGAGATGAGACTGAAGACTAAGCCAGCAACAGATTTAGACCATAGGGCAATGACAGAAACAATAATCCCAGCTGAATAGTCATCTCTGTTAGCCAAGGCAATGGTAATTATTAAAATGTTTCCCTTGATCCAATAAGGCAGCAATCCTGTCTTATTTAGGAAGCTAAGCGGGGTCAGCTGTGGGTAGTACTTGGATTGGAGACAGTTAACAAATACTAGGTACAGTGGGTGATATTTTAGAGCAGTATTTTTCAAACTCTGCTCCCCCAGGTTCCTACAATTGTCATTTCCTACAATTCTTAATAGCTGATAAAATGGCTGAGATTTCTGAGAGCTGAAATCTAAAACACCTGGAAGAGCAGAGTTTGAGAAACACTGTTTTAGAGGAAGGAACTGGTAAAACCCCTCTGAATTATTCTTTGACTAAGAAAACCCTATGAAATGCATGGAGTCAGCTTTAAAGCACTTACACATACTGTTGACCTCACATAGTGAACTTTATTAAGTAATTATAATTAATTAAGACATATCTTTTCAATTGATAGTTGGTTTGGCAGTTTGTATACATGTTACAAAAGCCCATATTTTGTTTAGTCTGTCTAAACAAGCACGCTGGTGTAGTTAATGCAGAAGCTCCATTCTGACTTCTCTGTACAACAACCACAGTTCCATTTGGTAGACTAATTTTAATTGCCTGCACCACCCCACAATACAAAAACACCAGAACAAGAGCTCATCAGATACTATTTTGTTTACATTTTTTCCTAAAGATATATTTGCGGATACTTTCCGAGGCACATCATGGAATACATTCATACACAGGCACAAAAATACGGTTGCAGTAAATTTAAAAGATTGATTATTTATATCACAGTATCAAGTGTGTGATGCACAGTACTTTTGAATGAAATTGTGGTACATAACATTTCTATGCAAGGATTAATTAAGACTCAAAAATTCTTTAATCTATCTAATCCTCATAGATAATCTGCAGAAATGTCATGCCTTGCCAAATGGCTGTTTGTGCCTTTGAAACCCGAAAATTGCCAACCAATACTTTCCATGTGCTTCATAGTGTGATTTAAATGTGTGTGGCTTTAGCAAGTTAAATTTCAGCAATTAGTGTTTTAGGAACATAACCCAACAACAGTGTAACAAATCATTCATGTAACAGAATATATTCTTATATCTATAAAACAAATATGAATGGCAATCACAATTATACAGTACAGTGTATTCCTAATGGCATATTTGAAGAGGACAGGTCCTGTTGAACATTAAAAATGTGAAATTGTCAAATGACCAGATATAATAAAATTTTAGGGAATACCTTTTTGTAAAAAAAAAAGAGGGGGGGGAGAGCGAGATATCATATATATTTTTCTTATTGGATGTAATTATAAAGGGAATAAGTTATTTTGATTTGGATCTTCAGTACTGGGAACAAAAAGAAGCTCATTGAGTTCCATAGGAGGGTGTTCCTGGGATGTGGGAATCAAAAGCCAAAACTGAAAGGAATTCTGCAGAAGTGGAGCAATGCTCAGGCCAGGTCTCTCTCCACACAGTTTCTTTATATCACTTCAGAGGGTGCTATTCCATGGAGTCATTCTGTTTCCAGCATTCAGAATCTAAGCAACTATCTCATTTTCCTATAGCATTTAACTTCTATCATTATCTCTCCACTGAAACCACATTTTAGCAAAAATAAATAATATATGTCAATGTATCTTGTTCCTCAGATCAACTTATTTGTGATGTTGTGAGTTGTTGGAAAGGTGAGCTCATCTACAGAGAGCTTGGCCTCACCCTAACTGAGAACAGCATGTTAGGAAATCTCTTTCGAAGAGTAACAAAAGCAAAATACCCTATTCCTGCCAGTAAGCCAACTAGAAACGTAGTGCCCAAAACTCTGGGCGCTCTCTTCTTGGCAACTCGAAAAGCAGTTGGAAGAACTGCCGAGATTAATATGTTGTTGACATGTCCTAAAACCCGGTAGAAAGTTTTTTTCTTCAAGACACGCTCGTAATAGGCTTCCAAATTAGGTCGTTTCCCATTCCCCCAGTTTCTCCTTGCCAGTCCGATGAATTTCAGGCGATGCAATGTAACAGCAAGGGATACATCAGCCAAGCTGAAAAACTGGCCACAGAGCCAAGGCTGCTGTCCATCTTCTGAACATAAAAAAGGCATAAAGAGTTAGGAACTGATAACATCTACTAGGTTGTAAAAGGCCATGGGATTACAAATCTATGTCTGTTTCCTATACTCTATTCAACTAATCATTGGTCCTAAATTTCTTCAGGAAAAGGTTTGTTAATAAGTCTGGCTAAGAACATTGCTCTAGTCCAAGCATCCTCAAACTTCAGCCCACCAGCTGTTTGGGCCTCCAATTCCCAGAATTCCTGGCTATTGAACAAGTTGGCTGGGAGTTGGAGACCCAAACATTTTGAGGATACCTGCTTGTTCTAATCCAATCAGCCAAGTGATGCTTCTCAGTGCTGAATATTCACATGCCCCAAACAAATTATCCTAAAGTCTGGACACTGAAAAGTCAAGTTTCCTTGTTTTTATTTCATTTTTAAACTGGATGATGACTGGAATCACGTTGACAACTGCACTAGTGGCAGCACTCTTTTAGAGATTGTGCTAAGTACAGTTCCTAGAAAAGGCCATTGTTCTACAAACATACATACAACCATGACTTATATAGGACTTGGTAGATGGGAAACTGATTCTTATGCAATGTGTGCATTCTGGATTGTAGTATCCATGTCATAATCAATTGCACAACTATGAGATCAAGTGTGAATATGCTGACATATATTAATATATGTTAACATCACCACTGACTCCAACCCACCTTTGGACACAATTCTAAGTGCTGTTTTTTGTCTACAAAGTTACCTGTCAAGCCATATGAAGCAGATACTTCTGTCTACCCCAAAACACTTTCAAATACATCATCCAGCACTTTGATTTGTGCAACTGGAGCCCCTTCTACACTATATAATTCAGATTATCAACAGATAATCCACATTATCTGCTTTAAACTGAATCGTATGAGTCTAGACTTCCATATAATCCAATTCAAAGCAGATAATCTGGGTTTTTATATGGCAGTGTAGAAGGGACCTGGGAGTCAATGTTCTTCTGCTAAGACAAAAGTTACATGCCCTCACTGAGGAAGGAAATCGAGTATGTTGCCCTGGCTACAGCTTCTCAAAAATCTAGCAGGGTAGATAAGTGTAATTCAGTCTGGAAAATATAAATACATTGATTCCCTTTATGAAATCAAGACTGCTACATCTACATTAACGATGGATTGTAAAGAAAATCCTACCTGGTGTTTCTTCATTTCTTCTCTGCAACTCAGTCTCAACTTGATCCAGAACTTTTTCCAGTTCATCCAATATTTTCTTTAAGTATTTTATGTTATCATGATCCATCAGTTTTGACTTTTAAAAAATACACAGACAATATATTAGAGTGTGGTATCATCTTCAGGTTCCAGTGAATGCAATGAATATCACTTCTGAGAAATCACATATATGATTCTAATGCATAAGGTCAACTAAGGTACAGAAAAGTCATATAGCAGAAGTAGCAACCATCTTGTATACAAAAGTGGAGTTAAATTTTACTTTTACTCTGATGTTTATACAGGAAAAAGCATGTCTTAGAATTGAAGACATGCAAAAATATCATATGCCAGGCAACCTTATCATGCTAGGTTTTAAGCAATCAGATATATTCTATTCTTACTTTGAGACGTTTTTGTTTTGCAATATATGCATCTTGCAAATCAGGGTTTTCTTCCGCAAGTTTCTTCAGCTCAGATTCAGTATTACCTATTTGGCCTGTTAAAGAACAATAAGCTCATTTATAAATCATATAAGAGGTTCTCTAAAGTTAACACATTTTATCAAAACTGCTGACTAACAATATCAATATAGTATATCTTAAAATGCATAAGTTAGAAGCTTTTATCTGACTTTTCAAGTAGATTTTTTTTCTTCTGAAAATACATTGGCTCAAAGGGTAACTCTATATGTAGTTCTAGAAATGTATGAAATGGCAGAAATCCATTTTGGTTTCATTTCAAATTTTGGATGTCCCCAACCCCATTTCATTTTTGGAAGATTTGAGGAGATTAGGGAGGGGGCTCATATCATTTCGTGATTCAAAATCCTGAGTTTTGTCATTGTTTTGGTTGGATTCATCCCATTGGCACCAATGGGAAATATTGCGGGGCTCGTTTTTCTGTCATTTTAATGGCTATCAGGATAAAACTTGCCACACTTCTAGACCACATTTACAACAGTAATCTTGCCAAGTTTCAGAATGCAGAGGTCATCCACTGATTTTTAGGGATTTTAAATTTTTTTACAAATACAATGTCTTTTTAAAAAAACAAAGGAAGTAGCCCCTTGAATTTCACCACAGTGATGGAACAGGAGTAGGGCATCATTCCTGCAGTGTTTCACAACCTTTTAATCCCCTATTGATTTTTAGGACTATTTTCCAATTTAAGCACCTTGGGCAAGTCACACTCTCTCAGAGGAGCAAAAAATTGTTTTTTTTTTCTCGCTATCAGGATGAAACTTGCCACATTTAAAGGCCACATTTATGAATTTAGATTTTTTAAAAGTTTTTACAAATAAACATTCTTTAAAAAAAAACCAAAGAGGAAACCCCTTGAATTTATCCACAGCAACAGAACATGAATAGGGCATCATTCCTGCAAAGTTTCAGAAAGATCCGGTCATCCATTGTTTTTTGAATTTTTTTCCAATTAAGCATGTGTGATAACCAAAATCACTTTCATATTAATGAGACTTATAATAATAAGCATAATTGTAAAGTGAAACGCTGGCTCTAGCAGAGGAAACAGCAGGCAGGCAAGTAAGCTTTTCAGGTTTGACATGCTGGGTGTGGGGGCAGATGGCTCACTGGCATGTCACAGTTGAGAGGTAATTTAGGTGGTACTTTTCAGAGCTGAGAGGTACACCCACCCAAACCTGCCTAGCAGAATTTGGAAAATAAAAGTTGGATAAGGAAGAAATGTCGAAAGAAAAAATAATTTTCAGAAAGCTAGTAGCAAGAGTAGTGCTCCAAAGTTTTAAGAAATAGTCGAAAACTGGCAGAAAGAAAACAAACTGACATAAAGGACACACTCTCTCTCCAACGCAATGCCACACACAGAAAATGGAGGAGTTCCATATGGTTATATATATATAGATTAGCTTTGCAGAAAGCCACATGATTGGTTTCCTTCTTCTGATTGGCTGACAGTGAAAAAAATTGTGTGTAGCTGCCCTTGTCAATCACACCAGCCATTCCCTGCCCCGGGATGGCAGAGTAATATGTTACTTGGGGGGGGGGGGGGATCCGAATCAATACATTTTCTGAATTTATCCAAAAGATTCAGAAACTTATGTTTTGATTCATAAACACTTCGGAGGGGCCCTTCCCACATTGTGTTATGGCAGTTTGTATTTCCAAATTCCCGAAATTTTCTGAAATCTGAAATTATGTCTGGAATTTCGCACACCTCTATATAGTACTACATACAATCAAGAATACAGTATGTTACTATATCCATAGTTTGACTTAGTCACACTCCCAAAAACATCTCCACCCCACTTCATGTGTTTAAGGTCATGTTGGAACAAACCATGTCTCATATTATCAAAATCAGAGATTATACTCATTCCAACCAGAGCTAAGAAACATTACTTTCTTGAACTACAGCTTCCAGGATTCCCCAGCCAAGATGGTCCTGGGAGTTGCAATCCAAAAATGTTCTGTGCTAGGATGTAAAGAAAAAATACATTTCCACGTTCTGATTCCAATTGCAGACTAAAAATTATATGAATACCCAAAGACATTGAAAGTTTAGGAGACCCAAATCTCAGCACTTTGTAACAGTGCACTTTTAAACAGCATATAAACCAGTGTAGAAAACATATTATTGGTACGTACTCCGAATACGAGTTGTGGCATAAGCTGGAATCAAAGAGTCCACTGCTAATTCAGGATGCAAAATGCAGCCGTGTGTATAGGCATCCATGGGCAAAGAATCCAAGAGTTCCCTGTAGTGCTGAACCCTTGGATAGTACATGCTTCCTTCTTCTGGCATTAGCCTTGGGGTATTTTCTGAGTTTAAAATGTATAATGGACAATGAAAACAACATTAAGGAGAAGTACTGAGTGATCACATTTCCTACTTGTTTACGAAAGCTATAGCCAACTGCCAATTTCTCTATAAAGTGGCAACTATAGGGATGGTCCATCCTGCCAGGGCATACAATGTTAGTTTAGGTCAGTGGTTCTCAACCTGTGGGTCCACAGATGTTTTGGCCTTCAACTCCCAGAAATCCTACCAGCTGGTAAATTGGCTTGGGTTTCTGGGAGTTGTAGGCCAAAACACCTGGGGACCCACAGGATGAGAACCACTGGTTTAGCTGGACAGGTACTCTGACTGTAGCTTCCTATGAAAGAAATGGGACTAAGAAAATGATAACCTGTTTGGGAATAATATTTGTCCAGTCCCACCCCACATATTTCTCTGGCAGCTCATTTTTCTGTACATTTTTCTTTATGCTTTACATTATATTTCCTCCTAAATAAGTACTAAATAAGTATTGAGGATAACCATGCAATCATTAAAAACAGACTTCCATGCAATAAGGCAGGGATCCTTTGATCCTTAACTGTTTTAGCAAAACCCACCCCCTCAGTGAAGTTTGCTGCTACCATCATCCTACTAAATTTCAGCAGTGCTGTTAATCTTGTCCCTACATTATTTCAATTTTAAAGCAAGAAAAATGGAAAGCATGTATCCTGTCCTAAACTGAACTGTGCCTCCAGAAGAACAATTAAGCTAGAAATCCAATTCATTTCAAAAACAAGGTGTATGCTCTCAGTCCACCTTGTTTTAAAGTTATCTCCCTACGCCAGTTATCTCCCTACACCAGTGGTTCTCAACATGTGGGTCCCCAGATGTTTGGGCCTACAACTCCCAGAAATCCCAGCCAGTTTACTAGCTGGGTTGCTGCAGGGTTTTCGGGCTGTATGGCCATGTTCTAGAAACATGGCCATATAGCCCAAAAAACCTACAACAACCTAGTGGTTCTGACCTTTAAAGCCTTCGACAATACAGTTTACCAGCTGTTAGGATTTTTGGGCATTGAAGGCCAAAACATCTGGGGACCCATGGATTGAGAACCACTGCCCTACACCATCCCTACCCCCTGCAATACACACTATATTTGCATTAATTAAAATCACACAAGCATTCTGGTTACCATCTGTAAATGTCTCTTCCAAGTAGTCAATAATCTGGTTGGCATCACAAATAATGTTGTCTCTGTGAATGAGCACAGGGACTTCTCCAGATGCATTTAATCGCATAAACCAGGGCTCGTTGTGCTCACTCAGTGGAAGGCTTACATCATGCTCTTCACATTTCAGTCCCTTTTCAGCAATCACCAAACGAACCTAAAAGAAATGACACAGATTCCCATGGAAAATATAGCTGTTTTCCTGTGTTTGTCTTGAGTGTGTGTGAGAGAGAGAGTTAAGACAAAATATTATACTTCCTTTTTATGATACTGACAAACTAATCTAATGTTTGCTGGTTTTCTTTGAATTCATTGAGTAGTTTTCTTGTTTCTCTTATATTGAAAGATGCACTAAACAGTGAACTCTATTACACATCAATGCCATTTTGCCAACCTACAAAGCAGAGCCAGCAGTTCTGGGGGGAAAGGGTAGGATGGTAGAGCAGAAGGCCCAGTCAGTGGCCTGCACAGGGCAGAAAAGGAGCAAAGCAACTTCCCTAATGCCTTCTCCTTGCAGCAGAAACCATAGGCCTCTCTTGTGTTTCCACACTTCTATGAGCCAGTGTCCTGCCAGCCCTAGAATACATCCTTTCTGCCCCCAGCTCCTGTCCTCCCACATTTTCAAGGCAAAGTCACAATTCCTTAACCTTTGTTTTCACCCTTTTTCTCCCTTTTGCTGAAATAAATATAAAATTGGCAATGCCCAAACACCAAATTTAGCAATACTCATACAACACAGACATAGATTTTTCTAGGTTGCAGCACATACATGTAAACAGCAATGATAAAAGAGAGATTTCAAGTGAAAGCCCAAGATAAGACATGCTAATAGCACCTAGTCCCAAAAGCATGAGAGCCAACTGATGAACCAATTCTCAGCACCTCCCAGGATCAGGACTGCTTCCAGACAGATATAAGGCCCTTCCACACAGCTATCTAACCCAGAATATCAAGGCAGATAATATACAATATCTGCTTTGAACTGAGTTATCTGAGTCCACACTACCATATAATCCCCTACAATGTGGATTTTATACACCTGTGTGGAAGGGGTCCTAAGGAGCAGGAAAGGTGCTGAGAATTGGGACTTGCAGGTACAACTCGAATGTAGGGGGCTTTTTAAAATATAAAGTAACAAGCAGTGGAAATGGTCATAAGGGGTGGAAATATGTGTGCTCTGGAATGTTGGACTATGTCTCTGGAAACCAGTGTTTGAACCCTGATAAACTGGTCTGCTGTGGAGGCATGAGTCTAAAAGTGCCATAGACATTGTTAGTTAACATGCCTGCAAAGTGCTAAGTGTGAAAGACTGCTCTGTAATTTCTCTAAATTGGAAGCTCTGGTGATCTATATATTTTTACTACAGCTTCCACAATCCATAATCATCAATCATACTGGTTAGAGGGTGATGGCAGTTATAAGTGAAATTGAGTGAACAATCAAATATTTCCCACTCCTGTGGTAAATAATACCACATAAGAAGAATCATGCAAGTAATGGCTGATCATTTCAGAGTAAACAATAGGCAATGAAAACGGTAAAGGCCGTGAAGCCTGTTTTGAAAACCTTCTGGCCTGTGCCTCAATCCCATTCATTATTTTTCCTTTCCCATCTGTTCTCCCCTCCAGATGTATATTGATTGCTGCATTTAAATAAAGCACATTCTCATTCAAGCACAGCATCTGCCCTTCAAAGTGGGCAAAATGGGTAAAGGGAGCTGTCCGGGTACTGAAACCTTCTATTTCTGGAAGACAATGGGATTAGCCACCCACCTTTTGAGAGCTGAAGGACTGTGTCCAGTGATAGAGGATGAGTTTAGCATCTATCTTGGCATCTACCTCGCTTGGAGGCATTTTGCCCTTGGATTGCTCCTCCTTTTCTTCTGTCATTTCACCGTTTTTCTTTCTGCTCAATTCACTGTTCTGTAACTGTCCCTGTGATTTCCTTTTTTCTCGCTCGCTGCTACTGAGTCTGCTCCAAGGAGAGAGCATGCTCACTGATGGCAGATGAAGCTGCTGCTCTGAAAATGCCCTCAGTTTCCCATTGTGTCTGATTACTAGTGAGACGAAGGAAGTGCCAGAGTTGCCCAAGTGTAAATATAGCATCATTTGGAACAGTAATAGAGAAAACCCACAATAAAAACACACACACGAGAGAGAGAGAGTTTCTACTATGTCAGACAAGAAATGTGATTCTCAGCAAAAGGAAACTGCTTGCCAGAGAGGTAAACTATATATGCTTTTCACTCACTTATAGATTTAGACCAAAATGAGTATCTACAAAAAATGACCCTTTTGAAGCTAAGGTCTAAAATAGGTTTTTCTCTTCCATGTTTAGTTGTTCATTCCTCACACTTCATGCAAGTAATATGATGGCACACTTTGCATTGTGATTAATGTAGTTTGGCTTTGCTCACTCATTTTACATACAATACAATAATTTCCAACAAATGTATATTTCACAGGCCAGCATTTGAAGAGCTTCAAGAGAAATGTGTACTGCTCAAAGTATTGTGAAACAGAAATGGAAATAACCTGGCATTGAAAACTTTCTATGTGTATATTTAAGATGTATTCTGTTGTTGCTTTTGGCCATATCCAGACTTAACATATTTGAAATTAAAATAAGACTACCTTTAAAGGAAGATTAATTTCAAAGAAATGAAATAGGTAAAGGTAAAGGTTTCCTCTTGGCATTAAGTCTAGTTGTGTTCGACTCTGGGGGTCTTTCTAAGCCGAAGAGTCGGCATTGTCCGGAGACACCTCCAAGGTCATTTGGCCAGCATGATTACATGGAGCACCATTCATAATGAAATAAGTAACTAAAATATGTAGAAGGTGTATTGACAGATATGCATCTGAACAAGTATAAGCATTTAAACGGGAGTATTAGTGATGCAAACTTTAAAACTTAAAAGGCCAAATATCAGATAAGCAAAATTCCACAAATTCAACACAGTTATGGAGCTTGTTTCTGGAAGACACCAAATCTATCTGAACAAATTTAACAGGAATCAGGAAAAAATGTGCTGAGGACATGCATTCTTTTGCTATAAAATGTAATTTTCCAAGCCCCGTACCAAAGTGATTGGATACATTTTGATAGTTTTGATCTTTATATAATATTCTATTCCTAGCCAACTATTTGCTGCCAACTAAAACTCATTTTTCAATTATTTTTGGATTTAGAACCTTTTGGGAACAAACTACATAATTTACATAGGGACCACCAAACATAACACCCAGACATGGATCAAGGAACATGACAGGCACTACAGTCTAATTCAACCAGGGAAGTCAGCCTTAGCAGAGCACCTGATGAACCAACCTGGACACAGTATATCATTTGAGAACCCAGAAGTCTTGGACCACTCTAACAAGACTACACAGATAAGTCATTGAAATCCACAAGCATGTGGACAATTTCAACAGGAAAGAGGAAACCATGAAAATGACCAAAATCTGGCTAACAGTATTTTAAAAATATCTAAAATTGGGACAATAAATAAAGAGGAAAACTCAAACAACAGGGGAATTCCAGCCATGAATCAATCAGGGCCAGCTAACACCTCTCAGTAAAGGATTCCCCAGGAAGCAGCCAGATTTTGAAGCTGCAAGGCCATTCAATGCTAATCAAGCTGACCAATTGCAACATTCACACTTGCCTCAAGCAGACAAAGAGTTCTTTCTCCCAATCTGAACATTCCACAGATATATAAACCCCACTTGTCTAGTTGCTAACAGACCTCAAAACCTCTGAAGATGCCTGCCACAGATGTGGGTGATACGACAGGAGAGAATGCTTCCGGGACATGGCCATACAGCCCAGAAAACTCACAGCAACCCAAACTACACAATTACTAACTGACAAGCCTATTACAAAATAAGTATGAAACATGTAATACCAGCTCAAGAATTTCTCATGAACCTATGGTCAATCTTACACAAAATGAAAACATAGTGTAATGTCTCATGAGTCTGTGGAATTGTTAAAACTAGTAGGCAAAAGACAACTTGTAGTGAAGATATATCCCCAAAGTAACCACAAGAGGTCTCCGTGTTTCCAGAGATGATTGGGAAACCTTCATTTGTTGAATTGTTGCTTCCTCCTGGTAAGTTCTAAAGTGAAGAATGACTCTTGTTCTAGATCAGTAGTTCTCAACCTGTGGGTCCCCAGGGGTTTTGGCCTACAATTCCCAGAAATCCCAGCCTACCAACTGTTAGGATTTCTGGGAGTTGAAGGCCAAAACATATGTGGATCCACAGAATGAGAACAACTAGATGAAACATTATTTCTACTTGAAATCCAGTGTTAGCCTGTTTGTATAATTATTATTTATTGGGTTTTAAACAGTCAATATAATCAATATTTAAAAGGAAAAATGAAACAAAGAAAAGGAAGGTCCTGTGAAAATAGAGAAGTGTTAATAAAGGGGTTGGGGTGCCTGAGAGAACACCCCAACCTCAGTGCAGAGCTCAAAAGGTTTAGAAAGGAATATATACAACCTGTTCAACTGCGAGTTTTAAATGTATGCCAACAGTGGGTGGAGCATCATTTCTATGATTTTGAGAGAGATGAGGGGGAAAAGGAAGGGGCCTGACGCTGTTGGGAATGGTGGGAGTTGAAGTCCAAAACACCTGGATGAGTTACAAAGTATAATGAAGAGAAGTGTCACAAAACCCCTGTTGGTGATATCATCCAAATTCAAAATTAGAAGCTTGCACTTCTCGTCTAAATATACTTAATAGTAAGATCCATTGGCTTCTGTAGGACTTACTCATGTCTTCATGCCTTTAACACTGGGGTCAAGCAATTACTTGGGATTTATCCAAATTCTATTACTCACTTGCTTTGTAATCTGTGAAAGTCACATACGGCCTTGCTATGTCTGCAATGCGAGGGAGGAACAATGTAAGGAACACCTGACTCTCAGATCTGTTGCCTTTGTGGACTGAGGCTCAGATCAGATTGTTTCATGCAAAATGTCAGATGGGGAACTTATCTGGGGTTTTTTTTTTAATCAAACACTACTCTGGAAGATTTGCTCTATCTATCTATCTATCTATCTATCTATCTATCTATCTATCTATCTATCTCTGAGCTTGGAAACATTACTTTTTAAACTATAGCTTCCAGAAGAACCAACCATGAGATCCACGTTCCAGCAGATGCTGAAAAATATAATCCAATAATTTTTTTTCAAGCTTCTCTATAGTACTTTTCATTAGCTGTCCCTGATTGTTTCCTCTATAGAGTTTCCCTGTGTTTGAGTGTTGTTTTACTGTTATAACTTTAGTTTTTTTAATACTGGTAGCCAGATTTTGTTCATTTTCATGTTTTCCTCCTTTATGTTGAAATTGTCCATGTGCTTGTGGATTTCAGTGGCTTCTCTGTGTAGTGTGACATGGTAGTTGTTAGAGTGGCCCAGCATTTCTGTGTTCTCAAATAATATGCTGTGTCCAGGTTGGTTCATTAGGTGCTCTGCTATGGCTGACTTCTCTGGCTGAAGTAGTCTGCAGTGTCTTTCATGTTCCTTGAATCGTGTTTGGGTGCTGCGTTTGGTCATCCCTATGTAGACTTGTCCACAGCAGCCTTAAACCAAGAAAAAGCCATGAGAGTAAAGACAAAGATCCATCCAGAGGAAAAGTGTTCTTGCCATACATCAAGGGAACCACTGACCGCATAGGAAAACTGATGAGGAAACACAACATTCAAATGATCTACAGACCCACTAAGAAAATCCAACAAATGCTCCCTTCAGCAAAGGACAAGAGGGATCCTCTCACTTCTGCAGGAGTCTACCGTATACCATGCAGCTGTGGACAGAGGAAAAACAATCAGGGACACCTCTCAACAAAAGATTCCTCCAGGCACTAACAAGCCACACCAAAAAAAATTGCCAGGCCATCAAATGCTAATCAAGGTGGCCAATTGAAACATTCACACCTAGCTCCAACAGACAAGAGTTCTTTGTCCCACCCTGGACATTCCACAGATATATACACCCAATTTTCCTAGTTCCAACAGATCTCACAACCTCTGAGGATGCTTGCCAGGAGAGAATGCTTCTAGAACATAGCCCTAAAAAACTACAACAACCCAGTGATTCCAACCATGAAAGCCTCGACAATGCATCAAATAGAATTGTTAGTCACAATTAGACTAGACCCATTGAGTATTTGGGAATTTGATAAATCTACACTTATGAAAGTTACATTACTTCAAGGATTTTTACATAAATAAGAATTGGATTTAGTGGCTACATTCCAAGAAGAGGATGAGGAGGGAAAGGGTGGGTGGTTGTAAAGGGACTTTGTAAAAAGGAGCTTCATTGTCAGAGGCTTTGTTAACAGATATATGCTTATAGTATCCATAGAACCCTCCTCCAGAACATTTCAATCAATCAATTTACAGCCCACTTTTCCCAAAAAAAACCTGGGTCTTGTGTTTTGATTTATGCCAGAGTATTGGCATCTACTCAATTAGCTCAATCAATGTGATTTTCCCTTCTCAGCTTTCTTTATTTTCCAGCCTTCACGTGTGTTATTATTGTTGCTATTCCCTTTATTTATACCCAATTTCCCCCTAAGAAATGGGACTCAGGTATCACTTCTGCCAACCATATCCTATTTCTAGGTGTGGAAATTAAAGCTGGACAGTGAAGAAAGCTCATATTCTCAAAAGAAAATCAACATACTATTTGAAATATGGTACTGAAGTAAATTTCTATAAATAACGTGAACTGCCAGAAAGACATAAAATTGGTCCAAGAAGAAATCAAGTGTGAATCCTTACAAAAAGCCAAAATTACTAAACTGAAGCTATATTATTTGGGACATAAAATGAGGAAACGTAATTCACTTGGAACAACAATAATGTCTTAGTAAAGGTGAAAGTCATAGAGAAAGAAGTCCACATTACAGGTGATTTAACTCAGTAAAGTGAATCAGAGACCAGAGTTTGCAAGACCTGAAGTTAATAACATTATTTACTGGAGGTCTCTTATATATCGGATCATG